CGTCAAATTTTAGAGTAGCTGAGGCTCCTCCCAAGCAAAGCGCAACCAGAAAGAGTGAAGAATTCATGTTTCAAAAACCGCAAAGGCCGCAGCTGGCGCAGCACAAGAGCAGGACAAAATCTAGGAGCCCCAACCTGCGTTGAGACCCGGTTCGACATCCACTTCCTAAGCCACACGTCTCTAGAAAATCTGTGACCTTGGAGAAACAACGATAGCTACGCAAAGGCATTAGATCTTTTGTTCATTTTTGCTATGAGTTGACCTTGACTCGATGGCAATCAACAACAACAAAGATCCATAGCAGAAGAGCCTACATGGAGGAGTCATAGAAATGAAGTAATACTACCACTATCTAAGATCAGGCATTAAACTGGGGAGCAGGCAAGAAATATTCTCAACTAACTCTCTTATAGGGAGCTCTAGAGCCTTGTTGTTAGGTGCTGTCAAATCAAGTACCACTCATAGAGACCCTATGAACAAAAGGTCTTAACCCGTTCTATCCTGAATCATCCTCATATTTCCTGACACACAAGAGTCCATTGTAGCAGTTATTGTATCAATCCACGTGGTGGAGATTCTTTGTTTCCCTCACTGACCCTCTACTAACCCCATCATGTCCTTTTCCAAGGAATAGCACTTCCTAGCAACATGTTCAAATTATGTGAGGCAAAACCTCATCATTCTTGCCTCCGAAGAGCACTCCAGCTTCACTATCTCCAAAACACAATCTGTTTGTTCTCCTGGCTATCCATGGGGTGTTCAGTACTATTCTCCAACACCACACCTCAAAGGCATCAATTCTTTTCTGTCAGCTTTATTGTCTAGATCTCAGATGCATAGCTAGTAATTGGAAAGACTCTGGCCTGAATCAGATGCACATTAGTCCTCAGACTGACATCACAAGTCCTCGATAATTTGGACAGGTTTGGAAATAATTTGGAACTGCAGATTTCCCCAGTGCCATGTAGTTCCTTTTTCCTGACTGCTGATACCAAGTGTGTTAATTGTGGATCCAAGTAAGATGAAGCTGCTGATAGATTCAGTTTCCTATCCATCCGTCATGGTGCTGCCTGTTTGTCCAGTGGTAAGAATCATTCTTTTTCTGCACATTTAGGTGCAGTCCATACTGAAGGCTGCATTCCTTTATCTTCTGCAACAAGTGAGTCAAATCTTCCTTACTTTCAGCAAGTAAGGTTGTGTAATCCGCATAATGCAGGTTATTGATGAGTCTCCCTCCAATCCTGATGCCCCAGTCCTCATAGAGGAGGATAATTTGCTCAGCATACAAACTGAATAAGTAGAGAGAGGGAGAAATAATACTCCCTTCCCAATTCCAAACCAAGCAGTATTCCCTTGCTCTGTTCATACAACAGCCTCCTGACCCAGGTATAGGTTCTGCATGAGTACAATCAAGTGTTCTAAGGAGTTGCACTGTCAACCCAAAGGTATATGGTTAAAATCCACAAGCTGCTCTGTGAGAGGATGATGGGCAGTCTCCTCCCATGTGAATAACTGCCTCTGGAAACCTGTTGGAGGATCAGCTATGAGTTGGTTCTTCCTCGACATACAACACTCATCTCTTATTTAGCCCTCTGATCATTCTGTCAGTGAAGTGCTATTGAAGAATTTCAGCATGCGACGCCTGGGTGATGTGGTTTGAGGAGGCACAGAAACAGCAGCGTGGAGCAGAGAATGCAGCTAGCACTTACTTCACACAGGCATACAATGTACGCACTCAAGCAATGTGTATTTGCCATTACCCTTATATTATGATATCTAGAATAGTTTCTTGTATTGAGAAATTAAATAAAACATTCTGCTATTATGATAACATATTTGTCTTTGTTTACATTGGATCTGGGTTTAATTGGAAAATGTCAATGAAAGTACGACAAAGCTCAGCTATCGTTGCTTTTCCTTTCATTGCTGAACGTGCAGTCCAGGGACCACAATGCTGCTTTTGTGGCCAAGTCCTGCCAATAGAAGCAGAAGCCAGTGAAGCTAAAGAATCACTCGAGTCTGTCCATTCTGAAAGCATGCAAGCAGTATTGAAGTTTTGATCAGGAAAAGTTTTCGTTTAAAAATGTTGGAATGGTTCCAGAACTAACATTTGTCCTCCAAAGAAATTGAAACATCATATTGTGTTGTTCAGAGTAAAAATTCTGAAGCCAAGCAGTACTTTTGCATCCTAGCTCTTTTTCTTCAAAGATGCTTGTTTGTAGACTAGTTACTTTAACAGCCCCTTACATAGGCTTTTCCATCTATCCAAGTTGGAATCATAAAATGGAAATATTAGTGCTTCTTCCAAAAAACTATCACTATTGCTATTGTTTTAGTAAAAACAGCAATCATCTCTTAACTAAGTAAAAGAAGTGAAAACTAGTGATAAATTTTAGTCAAGTGCTCTGAAGCTATCCATTTGTCAAATAAAGCTGTTTACTAATGAGTCGCTGCTATTTCTCCAATTTTGAAACAGATCACGAAATCCAGTTCCCATCAGATTGTCATGGATACCAGAGCACCTACCGTACTTTTCATGCTCCTTTTGATGCTATCTATCTAATAAAAGATTTTGTTTTTTGAGCGTCTTTCAGATGATTTCTTTTAAAACATTGACCTCAAGAAAAATATTTGTTCCATAAATAACTAGAATAATAGCAGTGCTTCCAAGTGTCCCCTCTTCTGTTGTTTTTATGACTTTTCCCAAAATCATTCTGACAGGAGAGTAATAAGCTTAATCAGAGGCACAAATTTAAATTTCTATTCTTTCAAGTGTAGTCTGTTATTGTGAAAACAATATATATTTCTTTTCTACTTCAGAAAGCAGTTAATTGGTTTACTAATGGCCAGGATTTATTTTTTAAAAGCTTTTGTTACTTATTATGCCAGAATAGACTCAGGGGGTGGGGGCAATAAATTGCAAGGGAGGAGAATGCCTGTCTTTCTCCTGCAGAGCAGCTACTAGATTTAAACCATGTGACATTGGGTTGGCAGCACAACTGCTTACTCACTTAGGCCACCATAGATCCAGGGTCACAATTCTAACGAGCCCATTTATCAAATGAGCATTCAGGTTTCTAGGAGTAAAAAGGAAAGCCACTCTTAGAATATTTCATCATATTAAGTTCCAACCTGACTTCATTTACTTAATTAAAAAATTTTTGCTTTCATATTTGAGATAATATTTTATTCGAGAATCTGAAGAAATGCTTATAATTCAAGCTGAAAAAAAAACCTCATGTTGGTCTACTGGCCATTGTGAAAGAAGGGATATATGTGGATTATAATATCCATTTTCTAGTTCTGGCAACATATACCTGTAGGCTAGTTTCAAATGTGATAAAGCTCTAGCTGTTTTTCTGCAGTTAAGTGAGAAAGTATTTAAAAGCATTGCCAGCATCAATTTGAAGTCACTAATTATTTCATTTTTCATGTTTCAATAATCTATGTCTGTGGAAGCAGCAGACAATAAATAAATAAAT